GGGGGGGGTACTGATGGCAGAGGAGCCTTAGGATCCTTCTGCCATCAATAAAAGAGAGAAGGGGCGTGGCCTGCCACAGGGCTGTGTGTCTATGGACGCACACAGCCACTGCGGAAACGATTGGGCACGAGCGCGCATGGGTGCCTCCATTAGAACGATGGTGACACCCGTGCAGGGGGCTGTGGGGACCCACTAGAAAATGAGGAATGAAAAACTTTTAAAAGAAAAAAAGCAACAGCCTCCAGCAAAGGAGGGTCTCCTTAAAGGGAAAATTTCTATCACTTTAATCCCACTTCTAAAATGGGTTTACAAACACTGTCCCAAAGCTCAGTTTTTGACAGCATCCGACAGCTGGATTGCTCCATAAGTGCCAGTAAAAAGGACAGTAAATCACAAACTGGGAGAGGGAGCTACCTACACCCTGCATATTTTGATTACTTTTTAGGGGGGCAGGAGTAGTCCGTCTAACTGTTTTTAATACATGTTTTAGAAATATGACAGTCTAGTCACTGCTTTAATACCAAAGTAACGGCTCACGGCAGAGGAAAGCACTTGTCGCCCCTTTTTGCAGAACTGAAAGGCTGTTTTTAAAACTATTGAACACAGCTGGAGAAATAGAACAATGCATATCGGTATAAAAAACTTTGTGTCAGTTATGTAGTTGTGACTTGATTTGCAGTAAAACTACTGGACCTGTCTTTACTATGAGAGTGGTCGGAGGCTTGTGAAAAAGTTACCATGAAGATTCAGCATAAACCTTTCTTGTTTTAGATTGCGGGGAAGGAGAGCTTCTGTCAGGTGTTTAATGCTGTATCAGTCCCTATTGATGAAATTCCTCTTCATTTCCTCTGATTGTGATCCGATCATTTTAACTAGGAGTGGTGGGAAGTCTCCTAAATGGTGACAAAAGGGCAAACAAATGCATTTTTGTAAGGGTTAAAAACAGGTTTATTTATTGCTATCCCTCCCCCCCCCTTTTTTTTGTCCTGGTATCACAGGGCTAATTTTTGCAGAGAATGCTTCCCTGTTCTATTTATTGTTCTAAGAATTGCCTTAATACTGTATTGTTTGCTGTTGTTAATAATATTTCTTTTTTGGTTTCATCTAACTATTATCATTATTCTTTGCCTGCCTGCAACACATTTTGAAGGAAGATCTTGCTTAACCTACACAATAAATACTTTGTGTGCCTTTTCAGGTTTGGAGAACATCTCAACCAAGCTTTGAAAGAGCTTGCACCAGGATGCCAAATTAAGTTTCTAGTTTCTGAGGATGGAAGTGGAAAGGGCACTGCCATAGTAACGGCTGTAGCACAGCGACTTGCATCCCAGAGAAAGCACATTGATAAAATCCTCGCCCCATTTCTTATGTCCCATGAAAAGCTAATAGAAGTTCAAAGCCGCATGCGTAATGAAATGGAGATCGGTCTACACAAACAGACACAGCCTGAAGCCACTGTGAAGATGCTTCCTACCTATGTACGTGCTACACCAGATGGAACAGGTAACGGTCAAATATTCAGTAGATAAAACTCAACAACATGTGTAATGTGCTTCCATAGGAGACAAATCGTAGTCCATGTGTTAGCTGATGTGGGGATTATATTTAATAAATTATCTGCTGTGATCAGATCATAATTGACAGCTAAGGATCAATGCAAGAATTAATGACTTGCTCCCCAGAAAATCTAGAAAAGTATGTGAAAACCCAAAATCTGCTTTTCAGTATGTTTTTGGCAGCAAAGATGACTTTTATACAGTTTGTCTATAGCAATATTTTTGTGACTGTTTGTTTTTTATCTGGAGACCCTGCTAGTAAAAGCACTTCCTGTTTCAGGCTGACCAGTCTAAGCCACTGGTTTATAAGCAGCAGAAACCTTTTCATCCTGCACTCCTTTAGTTGGCCTTTTCAGACTTTAGAAGTAGCTCAATGACCAACTGAGAAAGTACTTATGGCAGACTGACAGTGTTTCTGTTCATTGTGAGTCAGTGGCTTAGCATTGCAACAGGAAATGCTGTCCCTGGCAGGATCTCTGAAACTATGTAACAGATTCTCATGGAAAACTCTACACAGTAAGGTATGATGCTAATCATACGAAAACATTTTTTGAGTTTTTCATACACTTGATTTTTATCAGGTTTTAGTTGTAGCTGACTGCCATAAGTAGTAGAAGGGCCCCGTAAGCAGGCCGGCCATAGCAGAGGGAGATCAGCACGATCCAGGATCGGGCTTGATCAGCTTTATTGGAGTGCAAAGGTGATCTTAGACATTAGGGGTATATTACCTATTGATTCCTTTAAAGAGAACTTGCCACTGCTAATGTGCTATCACGTAGAGGTGCTTGTGAGCCCCCTATGTGATGGCAATAAATTTAAGTTTAAAAAAAAAAGTTAAAATACTTAAACTTTTTTGTAACGTCCCATGCACAAATAAATGCAAATGCGTGTCAGGTGTGCCTATATACAAAAATTCATGTTTGGCACAATCGTGTATGCCAGAGTGAGAGCAGTAATTCTAGGACACTCACTGTAATTTTAAACTGAGCTCAAACATTGGATATGCTGTAAATCGGGGCTCAAAATTTCCTTTCGCATTTGGCGAGGAAATGCAGTGCAAGCGAGTGGAAATTCAGTCAGGCTTGCGGTCGTGGACCGCGTACCTGACTCATGGGAGCAACTGCTCCTGCTGGGCTGTCTCCATTCCTTTCAGCCGCAGCTCTTCACTGAGCTCCGGCCGAAAACGAAGTGATTGGTAAGGTCTGCAGCAGACCTTACTAATCACCACTAGATCACCAGGGATCACCACCCTGCAGAAAGACAAGCAGGTGAGGGGGCTTCCTTGTATTTTACACTGTGGGGGGCAGGGAACAGGGGGGATTATGTTATGTGT